ACAAAAAAAGAGGTCAGGTCTTTAGCGTGCGGTGGCTGTTACGCGCCCCTTGTCGCGTGGACACCCGGCCCTGGCCCGTCGGGGATGATGGCAGGGAGCGGGGGTACCTTCCCCAGCCGTCCAGCAAGTGGAGCTGGCGAGGACGGAGCTGCCCACCCCCAGCCTGGGCGTCTCCCCAGGAGCAGGCAGGAACCCTTCTCTCCAGCAGGACGCCCCCGCCCGCGCTGCTGTCCGGGGCTGGAGAGATTGCGGGCGGGCGCCCGGGTACCAAATCCTCTCCCACCGACCGGCGGCAGTGGACGGCGGGGAGGGGCTGCGCCCACGCAGGACCCTCAGGGAGCCGGCTTGCCAGCGGCCCCAGAGACCCCAATGCGCAGGGGTCGGGCCAAGCTCGGCTGCGGGGAGAGGGCGCACGCAGCCCGCTCCCCCCCTGCGGTCCTCCCCGCGCCCCCTCGGGGCTGGCAGTTGTCCGCCCTAGGGGTCCGCGCACCGTGTCCTCCCAGGCCGAGGGCTCCTCCCGGCAGGCTGCGACCACCGACGCCCCAGCGGAGGAAGCCACCGCAGCCCCACCGCGCAAAAGGCACCCACGGCATCTCCCACGCAGCTTCGCGGGCGGGGGAGCCACGCGGCCTGTGGACGGAGGTTGCGTCTAGACGCGCCCCCCGCCGCCAGCTTCGGTCTCAGGAAACGCGACAGCCCAGCAAACGGTGGGCAGGGCGCTGCAGGGCACCAGCCGAGGAGCTGGACTCTCTACAGTTGGGTCCGAGGGCTCCTACTCTGGTGCCGCGCCCCAGTTCCATGCACTGAACCAAGTCGGTGGCCAGGGCAGGGGCGCCCTGAGAGGTCGGGGTTGCACTCGGGCCCGCCTCCTACCACTGTCACCCTGCGAGTCCCCCCTTCCCCAGCATTCAGGGGGGAGGGGATTCGCTGGGTCAGCTTACTGGGTGGAGAGCCCCAGTGCCCCTATTGTCTCAGGGGGGGGCTCCAGGCACACCCAGGTAGTCGCCAGGATTCTTAGGCTGGCCAGCCATCTGGGGCTTTGGGTCCTCAGGGTGAGCAGGTGTACAGGGGTTGGGCGGGTAGGTGGGAATGAGTGTGTGATGGTGCTGCGGTCACACTACAGCGTTACGACAGCCCTGGTCACATCCAGCCCTGCAGGGGACCAGCAGCGTGACCCTCTCTCTGAGGTCATCCACCCTCTGGGTACAGCCTGCTCACCTCCTGGAGTGCCTGCGAGGTGGGGCACACAGCAGGAACTGGGAATGTGGCCAAATCAAGGACCAGGAGGCGGCAGATTGGGAGCTGTCTGGGGCTTGAAAATGGAAATTCACCCCCCCCACCCAGGCACCCTAGGTCCCAATGTGAACCAGCTGGGGACAGGGGGTGGGGGAAGGGGGGCATAGATTTATTAGGAGCCTCAGGGGCCTGGGGCAAATCCACAGAATCCCCTCCACTGGGTTACTGCCATCGACCCAAACGTCGAGCTAGTGTCCACTGGGTCCGGCTGCGCCTAGGCTACAAGAGATTCACCCTGGCCACCACCTGCTTGCAGCCAGTGACAGCAAACTCGCGGCCGGCGATGCGGTAATAGCTGAGCTGTGCGGCCAGGGACTCGGCGCGGGCCTGCTCGGGAAAGAAGCCCTCCCCGGCCATCTCGTCCCGGAAGCAGCTGACCACGTCCCGCTTGTCCAGCAGCAGGAAAGGCACGATGGCCGCGGCCTGCCACAGCGGGTGCTCGCGGACCAGGAACGCCCTCAGGGCGACGCGCAGCTCCTCCTCTGTCTGCAGCGCCGCCGCTGCGGCCCGGGTGCTGGGGGCGCCGTCGCGGGTCAGGGGCAGCGCATGGGACGCGTTCTGCAGCACGAAGCGCGTGACCTCTGCGCCTCCCACGCCGCTGAGGAGCACGTAGATGGCGTTACGAAAGTGGTGCGAGCGCTGCGGCTGCAGGAAGCCGTGCAGCTCGTCCAGCAGCTCCGGCGGCGTGAGCTCCACCTCGTCCAGCACCAGGAGCGGGGTCTTCTCCTCTAGCTCCGCCAGGGCCACCACCTCGGCCACGCGCCGTGCCAGCTCCTCGCGGCAGTCATGCGCGGCGTGCGGCCCGGGGCAGTGGTGCCGGGCGTGATACTGCAGCACAAGCGCACCGTCCTCGAGCACCGCGCGGAAGTGGCGCGCCAGCAGGCGGCCCACATGGCTCTTGCCCACGCCGCTGGGCCCGTGAATTGCCAGCAGCAGTGGGCGGCTGTGCACGTGCGTGGCCAGGTAGTCCCGCAGCAGAGCCACGATGCGTCCCACGGCTGCCGGCTGGCCGAACACTGAGCGCTGCAGCTCCTTCTCCAGCCCGTCAAGGTCGTAGCGCTGCGCGTTATCGTCCAGGTTCTCGATGGCGTTGAGCACCTGGAAGCCCACGATGGCCACGAGCAGCAACAGGCAGTGCTGAGCGCGGCTCCGACGCTCCGCGCGTGGCCGGCACTTGCGCGAGGTCTCGGGGTAGAGCACCACGCGGCTGCGCCGGCGCCTCTTGCGCGGCGTCCTGGAGGTCAGCTCCGCCGGGCCGTCGAAGGTGAAGAATCTTGGCTGGTCCAGGTCCGCGCACGGCGCCCCGGAGCTGCAGCCCGGCCGGGGCGCCCCGGGCCCAGGGGGCGGACCCACGCCGGTCGGCAGGAGGCGCCGCTTGCGCAGAAGGCACACGCGGCGGCGCAGGCGGACCACAGCGCGCAGCGGCGCGACCACTCTGTGGCAGGGGACGCCGGAAGCCCCGGCCGCGGGCTCCGAGCTGGGCTGGCCGCCGTCCATGGTGCGGGGCGCTCGGCATGCAAGTCGCCCTCCCTGAAACGGGAAGGCGGGAGGGTCCCCAGACTTCCCCTTGGGCGACCACGACCCTTCCCCCGAGTGGCCCCATCCCCCGGAAGGCCCTCGCGGTGCGCCGGGTCCGCCCCACGGCCGGGGCCTGCGCACAGGCCTCGCTGGGCCAGAGTCTCGCCCCTGACCAGGAAGCGGCTCCGCGCGGGGGCCCAATGCAAATCTCTCGGGCCCTCCCAGGAGCAGCCGCGGGCCTTGAAGTGGCTGGAGGGAGGGGGGTGGGGGCAGCTTATCGGAGGGCAGACCGGCTTCCTGGAGGAGGAGTCGTGTCAGCCAGGCGCCGCGTAGGGGTAAAGAAGGGTCAAGGGTGGGCCTGCCCTCCACCAGCACCTCCAACTGCTGGGAGCCCGGGGCCCTCCGTGTCCCAAGAGAGGCCACAGGCAACAGAGGCCTGAGCAGCCCGAGTTCAGAGGTGCCCCCACCACCCTTAAGAACACTTAGGGGAAATTCTAGCTGGAACTAATGCTTTCCAGCTTGGACCCCAGCCGTAACCCCAGGCTGAGCCCAGGCCTCCCAGCTCCCCACCCCAAAAACCGGAAACACTTGGAGTGGCAGCAGGGAGTACCCAACCCCCAAACGGGGGTGAGGTGTAAGGAAGGACAGAAAGACCAGAGAGGAAGGAGAGATGGAGACAGAGAAGACAGCCGTAGAAAGGTGGGTGGATGCCCCTGGCCCCAGCCCACCCCCATACCTGCAGCTGCTTCAGGTCAGGCCCCTGCTGGCCTCCAGCCCCCCAGGAAGGCCCCCTGCCGGCAGTCGCTGGGGCCTGCCACTGAAGCAGCATAAAACGCTGACTTCCTGGTGAGGGTGGGGTAAGTCGGGTCCCTCTGGCCAGCTCGGGCCTGGAGGCGCAGCAACACCTGCGGGTCCCCAGGGAGCTCCCAGGGCAGAGGCAGCTCTGGGGAGGTTTCCGTTTTGATGCAAAGGAAGTGAGTCAGGGGTGCGGCATGGGCGGGACTTAGGCTGGACGGAGGCGCTGGGTGAGGGGGGTGGGGGGCAGTCCTGCCTGGCTTGCCCGGGTCCTCTGGCCAGTGGGTCACCTACCCACCCCAGTCCTGCAGTCCTCCAAGCCCTCCTGGCTAGGGCCAGGCTCCGGACCCTTGTTGAGACAGAAGCATCCCTACCCCGAGATGCCACTGCCAGTCTGCTCTCCTTGGACCGCCACCTCCCCAGGGACACAGCCCGCATTTGACCCTACAAGGGCCCTGCAGGGGTTCCTGGCTACCTGTACGCAAGGAGTGGGGGGTAGGTCCTGTGCCCTAATCTCTCCCCACCCTCCTTTCCCTCCCCTGACCCCCAGCCTGACAGCTTCCAGAGGAGGGCTCATTTCCTATTCTAAAAGCCCCTCTTATCAGGGCCTGGGGCTCCACGGACCCCATCTCCTGCTTCTACTTCCCCTGCCCCCCAGCCCTGAGCCCTCCAAAGGGCAGGGCAGCGTGCGCTCTGACAGAAATTCTAGAACTGGGGGAAACGTCGTGCATGGCTCAGGGGAAGCGAATTTAGAGAGAACCTGGACCCTTCCCCAAACGCCAGCACCACGTGGCCCTGCCGCACCACCTCCCACCTCTGCAGAAGGACCTGCTTGAGGACCCTCTGCACCTCCCATTCCACCGCCAGCTCTGTCTGTAGCCCATACAGAGAAATTTGTCAGCCGGGAACGACTCAAGCCAGTCGTGGCACTGAGCCCATCCACACCTGCAGGCCACCCCCAGTCTGTCCTGCAGACACACTGCACATGCAGGTCCCACTGCCCAGCACACCAGGCCCCTTCTCTCCCAGCTTTCCACCCACTCCCTGTGCCACAGGCAGGATCTGCATTAGGGAAATGCTGGTCCCAGGCTGGGGGCTCCCTCTCTCCAGACTATGGGATTCACAGGCCTCCCAGTGATGGGCAGAGATTTCTGTCTGCCCATCCGTCCAGTGTCCTCTGGCAGGCCCACTGCACTGAGAAACCACTGCTTCTCTGCATCCTCTTCTCCAGCCTCGGGGCCTGGCCCGACCTGCCACCCCTTTGTGTGTAGGGCCCGGTGCTCAGGGATCCCCCAGGCACCTCACCTACCATGTGGGCTGGCAGTGCTTCCAGCCTTCCCAGGACCTCCCCTGCCCAGGCCTAACTGAGCCTCGCAGCCTTAGCAAGGAAGGAGGGACCTGCCATGCAGCCCAGGACCTGGCTCCCTGACCCCCAGCGTGGCCCCCACACATCTGCCTCCTCCCTGAGAACTCCCCCAGGCAGGGCTGAGGATCCAGGCGGGCCCGCAGACCCCTCGGAAGGAGCCTGCCCACCTGGCCTGCGTGCAGTGCCCAGCCTGTGCAAGCGCAATGCATTCACCAAATGCCTTTTATTCACGTAAGTCAGCCCCACTGTGTGTAACAGCGACCCCTCACTGGGCCAAGACGGCTCAGCCGAGCAAGGAGTTCCGGCTTTAGGGGGTAAACTGAGGTAGCAGGTGGGAGGCTTAGGCTTCCTTGGCTGTACCTGCTCCATGGGGTGCTGCCAGCCAGGGTAGGAGCAGCTCCCTGCTTCTGGGGTCCAGGGTCAGCCAGTGTCCACGGTCAGACCTCAGAAGCAACGTGGACAGAGCTGGGTTCATTTGCAGGCGTCCCGGCCCACAAACCAATCTGCCAGCAGGGCCGGCCCAGCCTGTGCCCTCACACTATGGCCCCTCTGCCCTCTCCCCTTGGAAAACAGGCGGCTCAGTCCTAATCCCAACTATTGCCCTCCTGTTCCTCCTCTGTAGTGGGTACCCACCCTGTGAGGAAGGCATGAGCAGGCGTTCCATAGCTGGGAAGCATGAGAAGGAACGCAGGTCCCGTTTTCACAGATGGCACACCCCTTCCAGGACCCCGTTCAGGGCGGGGCTGTGGCGGTGGAGGGGCACCACCCACAGGACGGCCTGCAGGGCAGAGGGGGTCTCACCCAGCCCACCTGAGCCCCAGGAGCAGCCAACTCGCTTCAGGAGACATGGGGCCCCAGTGCTCACAGGTCCCTACCGGGGCACTGCCCAGTCCTGAGCAGCCCAAGGAAAGCCTCAGAGCCCAGTGGGGGCGGGCACAGTGGGCAGGGGCAGCTCCAGGGCCGGACTCTCAGTGGCCTGGGCTGGGCTGGGCTTGCGGTGGTCCAGCTGCTCCAGCTTCTCACCAAGCTGGGAGTAGAGCTCCTTTACTGCGTCTCCGCTCTGCAGGGAAAGTGCAGGGTTTCGGGCAGGCCTCAGGCCACTCAGAGTGGACCCACGCGGACGACACGCAAACCCGGAGGGGGCGTCAGGCTAGCACGGCAGGGCACCCACCTGACCCGACGGCTCCAGTGCCCTCTGCAGGACCTCCAGTTTGGACGGCGCCACCCGGTGGTGCAGGTGGACGAGGAGCCGCAGCGCGTGCCGCTGTACACTCTCCTTCCTGCAAGAGGCCATGGGCAAGGCGGTGGGTAGCTGGTGACCCCTGCCCCTCAGCCCTGGCTGCCAGGGCCCGAACCATAGAAAGTTACCTGGCAGAGGCCGTGAGGAGGAAGCCATCGAAGAGGCTGCTGCAGAAGTCCTCCAGGGCGAACTCGTCTGCCAGCAGTGCCAGGTTCCCCGTGAGCAGGTGGAGGAAGATGTCACCGAACGCCAGGTCACCGAAGGTCTCCACTGCAAACAGTAGGCGTCAGCCCACCTCGGGCACCACTCACACCCTGTGCCCAGGGCCAGCCCTCCGCTCCCCAGACCTGTGAATCGTAGGGAGACCCCGACTTTTGAGCACAGGTTTCCTGAGGGCTAGAAGGTGGGCCTGGGCAGGCAAGGCAGCCAGTGGGGGCCGCTGGGGGGGTCTGGGCCTAAGCAGTGAGCAGAGGTGTGGTGCCCAGGTCCGCGGAGCAGGGGTGAGCGCCCAAACCCCTGGCTTTGCTCAGGGGCCGAGGGACTGTGGATTAAGCAGACCCCAAGACAGGGATCCCACCCAGACCAGTAACCAGAGAACAAACGGGCCACAGGCTGGCCCAGGAGGGCACGGGCTAAGGCTGGTGCCGCCCTATGGGAAGAGGACAGAGGGAGGTGCTCCTTTTTTGGGGTGCCACAAACAGGAAGACTTGAGAGTGGTGGCAAAAGTGACTCAGGACGAGTCTCACAGGAGAGACCGAGCGCACAGCGCACAACCGGCAGGGCGATGAGCAGCTGGAGGGCAGCAGGCCACACGGGGGCGCGTGCCCAGACGCAGAGGCTGTGCCAGCTGCTACAGAAACACCAGCAGGGAGTTCTGACCCCAGCCAAGCGCAAGGTGCGCGTCTTTGGTGTCTGGCCACCGCTGTCGCAGCCTGTGGCCCGCTCACGGGGGGACATGGGGGCGGGCACATGGTCAAGACACCAGGGAGGCGCCAGCCACATCCTAACTGGGGAACAAGGGCCCTGGTCCCCCCGGTCAGTCCCATGTGGCCCTACAGATTATGAGAAACCCGAGAGGCAGAGGATACATGGGCAAGGGAAGGAATCCTGACCCGAACAAACCACCTGCACAAAACCATTATGTGCCACTCAGGAAATGTGGCCATCGGGCCTGGGACCCAGGCATGCTCATGGGCTGCGGTCGTGGGCCTTAAGGGCCCTCCTGTCAGGATGTCTGATCCTAGTAGCTGGGAATCAGGGTTTACGTCCTGACCATCACCAAGGCAGCCTGAGGAGGGGTGAGGGCCCTGGGCCTCCCCATACTCCACTTCTGATCTCACCAGAAGTCCCCATAATAAAAAGTTAAAAGTTAGAAGAAAAATGAAAAAAACCAAGCCCACCTTCACTAGATTGTACTGATGACACAAAGGAGAGAAAGAGAAAAGCACTGTAATGAATAGAAAGATGAGACAAGCAAGTGATTTATAAAACTGCTCCTGGAAGTCTCCAGAAAGAGACAGACGGGCTGCAGCTGGTGGCCAGCAGGACGGCCCCAGAGGCGCTCCTGTCCTGACCCACCTTGTGTGCTGACTGTCTCCCAAGAAGGGAGACAATCCTGCTGACGTCAGTGAGCCCCGCACCCTCAGAGTCCTTACAGAGCATAGCAGGACAGGGCAGCAGAAGCCGGAGCACGCACAGCGGAGGCAGGGGGAGGGGCCGGGGGCTAAGGCTGCCGTGGCCCCCAGAGGCCAGAGGGGCCAGGGAAGCCTCTTCCTGGACTTCCTTCCCGCCCGGGCTTGGCACCTGCTTCGGACTTCTGATCTCCAGACTAAGAGAACAGGCCTGTGCTGTCGGGTTCAAGAGGGGCTAGGCACAAATTAACACCCACAGCAGAGCGCTTTCCTCATACAGAAAAGGCGGAGAACACATCACCACCACCCCATGTGTCAGTGGCCTAGAAACACGCTCAGCAGGTAACAGGTGAGATCTTTATAAAGTAGCCTCACCGCCCCAGATGAGACCCGAGCCAGCGGAGGCCCCGGGGCCTGTGTGTGTGCTGCTGAGAAGTCAGGTGTTTCCAGAAGCCCTCCCTGGCTCACGCTGCAGCTTACTCTTGAAGGGGGTCCACTCAGACCCCTCCCTCCTCTTCCCAGACTGCAGCAACCGCCCCCCGCCCTGCACTCCATGCAGCCAGAGGCTTCCAAAGGAAGTGGCTCTTCCCCACCTCGGGTGGGGGCGCTCTCCACCACCTGCGGACTTGAGGGGCTCCATTGCCCCGCACACATTAAGCTAAAATTAAGTTGGTTCTTCCGTCACTGTGGAGAGGACCCTTCAACATGTGGTGACAGGAGCTCAGGCATCTGTCAAAGTGCAAAGCTGAGCTCCTGCCTTTTGCCCCAAAATAACTCCAGAAGATGAGGGAGGAGGGAGGGGTCTGGCCCACAGGTGGGCACACTCACCAAGCCCCGGCAGCAGGCGGAGCAGCGCGTTCTTGTTCCTCTGCTTGGTGACATGCAGCACATAGTAGAGCCCCACCTCACAGGCCATGCGCTGCTCCTGCAGGAACCTGCAGGCCAGGCCATCAGTGGGGGCGCTGCCCGCACGCCCGGGGCAGCCAAGGCGCAGGTCCCACCCGCAGCCCCAAGACCTACTTGGTGAAGCTCTCTGGAAGGGTGTTCGGGTACGTGGCCGGGGCTTTCTCCTCTGCCGGGAGCTTCTGATCCACGCTGAAGGTGTGGTCGTCCACCACGAAGGACATGAGCATGGGCAGGAACCTGGTGACGAGCTCCACCTCCTAGGCAGACGGGCCCTGAGCTCGCCCGCCTCCCTCACATCCATCTGGCCCAACAACCTGAGGGCCCACTCCTCCTTCCTACCTCCAGAGACCCCACTTTCCTGACCTCAGGGCCCCATAGCCCCTGGAAAAAAAGGGTAGAAGTGACCCCATCCCAAGCCCATTACCATCTTGGGCTCCTTGAAGACCTGGCTGTCGATCATGTCCCACGCTCCCTGGCCCAGCGCCAGCAGCCTGAGCAGCAGGAGGAGGTCAGGACTGTCCTGTGGGGCGCGGGGCCTCAGTGTGAGCTCACTGGAGCCGTGCCCTCCCTGATCTCGCAGACACCGGGACTGGCAGCTCCTCCCGTAGGCTCCACGTGCCCTCCGCAGACAACAGGTGCTCTCAGCAGACACCTGTGCAAACCTGGCCACCGCCAATCCACCCACCTGGGAGGCAGCGTGGCCAGCCAAGCACACTCACCCTGGGCAGCGTCTCCTGGCCGACCAGCTCCTGCAGGTGCCTCACAGTGCTCAGTGACAGGGTGTTGATGGCGAAGGGGTCGCACAGGATCATGGACAGGTCCCTGTGAAGATGAACCCATGTGAACAGGGACACCCCCAGCCCACCGAGGGGCAGCCACGGGCTAGGCTGCCTCAGCCGCTGTCAGGGGGACAGCCCTCCACGCAGAACGAGCCCATCCCACTTGGAAAGTCTTTCAAAGAAAAGCTTACATTTTGTAACTTGCCCTTAACTTACTCAAGAAACTGAGAAGTTAAAAAGCCTTTTAAAAAATTAAAGTCCTTCTTTTGGTTATGAAAACCTGACCTGGACTCAATCATAAATTCAACCACGGTCCCAGAGACAATCACAGAGAGAGAAGGATCGGTGACCGAGGGCTAGACAGGGCTCACGCAGAGAAAGCAGCTCCAGGGACGAGACCCCAACACCTCCGGGCACAGCGGACCCCAGGATGGGGCACTCTTATCAGGGCCTGGGGCTCCACGGACCCCATCTCCTGCTTCTACTTCCCCTGCCCCCCAGCCCTGAGCCCTCCAAAGGGCAGGGCAGCGTGCGCTCTGACAGAAATTCTAGAACTGGGGGAAACGTCGTGCATGGCTCAGGGGAAGCGAATTTAGAGAGAACCTGGACCCTTCCCCAAACGCCAGCACCACGTGGCCCTGCCGCACCACCTCCCACCTCTGCAGAAGGACCTGCTTGAGGACCCTCTGCACCTCCCATTCCACCGCCAGCTCTGTCTGTAGCCCATACAGAGAAATTTGTCAGCCGGGAACGACTCAAGCCAGTCGTGGCACTGAGCCCATCCACACCTGCAGGCCACCCCCAGTCTGTCCTGCAGACACACTGCACATGCAGGTCCCACTGCCCAGCACACCAGGCCCCTTCTCTCCCAGCTTTCCACCCACTCCCTGTGCCACAGGCAGGATCTGCATTAGGGAAATGCTGGTCCCAGGCTGGGGGCTCCCTCTCTCCAGACTATGGGATTCACAGGCCTCCCAGTGATGGGCAGAGATTTCTGTCTGCCCATCCGTCCAGTGTCCTCTGGCAGGCCCACTGCACTGAGAAACCACTGCTTCTCTGCATCCTCTTCTCCAGCCTCGGGGCCTGGCCCGACCTGCCACCCCTTTGTGTGTAGGGCCCGGTGCTCAGGGATCCCCCAGGCACCTCACCTACCATGTGGGCTGGCAGTGCTTCCAGCCTTCCCAGGACCTCCCCTGCCCAGGCCTAACTGAGCCTCGCAGCCTTAGCAAGGAAGGAGGGACCTGCCATGCAGCCCAGGACCTGGCTCCCTGACCCCCAGCGTGGCCCCCACACATCTGCCTCCTCCCTGAGAACTCCCCCAGGCAGGGCTGAGGATCCAGGCGGGCCCGCAGACCCCTCGGAAGGAGCCTGCCCACCTGGCCTGCGTGCAGTGCCCAGCCTGTGCAAGCGCAATGCATTCACCAAATGCCTTTTATTCACGTAAGTCAGCCCCACTGTGTGTAACAGCGACCCCTCACTGGGCCAAGACGGCTCAGCCGAGCAAGGAGTTCCGGCTTTAGGGGGTAAACTGAGGTAGCAGGTGGGAGGCCTAGGCTTCCTTGGCTGTACCTGCTCCATGGGGTGCTGCCAGCCAGGGTAGGAGCAGCTCCCTGCTTCTGGGGTCCAGGGTCAGCCAGTGTCCACGGTCAGACCTCAGAAGCAACGTGGACAGAGCTGGGTTCATTTGCAGGCGTCCCGGCCCACAAACCAATCTGCCAGCAGGGCCGGCCCAGCCTGTGCCCTCACACTATGGCCCCTCTGCCCTCTCCCCTTGGAAAACAGGCGGCTCAGTCCTAATCCCAACTATTGCCCTCCTGTTCCTCCTCTGTAGTGGGTACCCACCCTGTGAGGAAGGCATGAGCAGGCGTTCCATAGCTGGGAAGCATGAGAAGGAACGCAGGTCCCGTTTTCACAGATGGCACACCCCTTCCAGGACCCCGTTCAGGGCGGGGCTGTGGCGGTGGAGGGGCACCACCCACAGGACGGCCTGCAGGGCAGAGGGGGTCTCACCCAGCCCACCTGAGCCCCAGGAGCAGCCAACTCGCTTCAGGAGACATGGGGCCCCAGTGCTCACAGGTCCCTACCGGGGCACTGCCCAGTCCTGAGCAGCCCAAGGAAAGCCTCAGAGCCCAGTGGGGGCGGGCACAGTGGGCAGGGGCAGCTCCAGGGCCGGACTCTCAGTGGCCTGGGCTGGGCTGGGCTTGCGGTGGTCCAGCTGCTCCAGCTTCTCACCAAGCTGGGAGTAGAGCTCCTTTACTGCGTCTCCGCTCTGCAGGGAAAGTGCAGGGTTTCGGGCAGGCCTCAGGCCACTCAGAGTGGACCCACGCGGACGACACGCAAACCCGGAGGGGGCGTCAGGCTAGCACGGCAGGGCACCCACCTGACCCGACGGCTCCAGTGCCCTCTGCAGGACCTCCAGTTTGGACGGCGCCACCCGGTGGTGCAGGTGGACGAGGAGCCGCAGCGCGTGCCGCTGTACACTCTCCTTCCTGCAAGAGGCCATGGGCAAGGCGGTGGGTAGCTGGTGACCCCTGCCCCTCAGCCCTGGCTGCCAGGGCCCGAACCATAGAAAGTTACCTGGCAGAGGCCGTGAGGAGGAAGCCATCGAAGAGGCTGCTGCAGAAGTCCTCCAGGGCGAACTCGTCTGCCAGCAGTGCCAGGTTCCCCGTGAGCAGGTGGAGGAAGATGTCACCGAACGCCAGGTCACCGAAGGTCTCCACTGCAAACAGTAGGCGTCAGCCCACCTCGGGCACCACTCACACCCTGTGCCCAGGGCCAGCCCTCCGCTCCCCAGACCTGTGAATCGTAGGGAGACCCCGACTTTTGAGCACAGGTTTCCTGAGGGCTAGAAGGTGGGCCTGGGCAGGCAAGGCAGCCAGTGGGGGCCGCTGGGGGGGTCTGGGCCTAAGCAGTGAGCAGAGGCGTGGTGCCCAGGTCCGCGGAGCAGGGGTGAGCGCCCAAACCCCTGGCTTTGCTCAGGGGCCGAGGGACTGTGGATTAAGCAGACCCCAAGACAGGGATCCCACCCAGACCAGTAACCAGAGAACAAACGGGCCACAGGCTGGCCCAGGAGGGCACGGGCTAAGGCTGGTGCCGCCCTATGGGAAGAGGACAGAGGGAGGTGCTCCTTTTTTGGGGTGCCACAAACAGGAAGACTTGAGAGTGGTGGCAAAAGTGACTCAGGACGAGTCTCACAGGAGAGACCGAGCGCACAGCGCACAACCGGCAGGGCGATGAGCAGCTGGAGGGCAGCAGGCCACACGGGGGCGCGTGCCCAGACGCAGAGGCTGTGCCAGCTGCTACAGAAACACCAGCAGGGAGTTCTGACCCCAGCCAAGCGCAAGGTGCGCGTCTTTGGTGTCTGGCCACCGCTGTCGCAGCCTGTGGCCCGCTCACGGGGGGACATGGGGGCGGGCACATGGTCAAGACACCAGGGAGGCGCCAGCCACATCCTAACTGGGGAACAAGGGCCCTGGTCCCCCCGGTCAGTCCCATGTGGCCCTACAGATTATGAGAAACCCGAGAGGCAGAGGATACATGGGCAAGGGAAGGAATCCTGACCCGAACAAACCACCTGCACAAAACCATTATGTGCCACTCAGGAAATGTGGCCATCGGGCCTGGGACCCAGGCATGCTCATGGGCTGCGGTCGTGGGCCTTAAGGGCCCTCCTGTCAGGATGTCTGATCCTAGTAGCTGGGAATCAGGGTTTACGTCCTGACCATCACCAAGGCAGCCTGAGGAGGGGTGAGGGCCCTGGGCCTCCCCATACTCCACTTCTGATCTCACCAGAAGTCCCCATAATAAAAAGTTAAAAGTTAGAAGAAAAATGAAAAAAACCAAGCCCACCTTCACTAGATTGTACTGATGACACAAAGGAGAGAAAGAGAAAAGCACTGTAATGAATAGAAAGATGAGACAAGCAAGTGATTTATAAAACTGCTCCTGGAAGTCTCCAGAAAGAGACAGACGGGCTGCAGCTGGTGGCCAGCAGGACGGCCCCAGAGGCGCTCCTGTCCTGACCCACCTTGTGTGCTGACTGTCTCCCAAGAAGGGAGACAATCCTGCTGACGTCAGTGAGCCCCGCACCCTCAGAGTCCTTACAGAGCATAGCAGGACAGGGCAGCAGAAGCCGGAGCACGCACAGCGGAGGCAGGGGGAGGGGCCGGGGGCTAAGGCTGCCGTGGCCCCCAGAGGCCAGAGGGGCCAGGGAAGCCTCTTCCTGGACTTCCTTCCCGCCCGGGCTTGGCACCTGCTTCGGACTTCTGATCTCCAGACTAAGAGAACAGGCCTGTGCTGTCGGGTTCAAGAGGGGCTAGGCACAAATTAACACCCACAGCAGAGCGCTTTCCTCATACAGAAAAGGCGGAGAACACATCACCACCACCCCATGTGTCAGTGGCCTAGAAACACGCTCAGCAGGTAACAGGTGAGATCTTTATAAAGTAGCCTCACCGCCCCAGATGAGACCCGAGCCAGCGGAGGCCCCGGGGCCTGTGTGTGTGCTGCTGAGAAGTCAGGTGTTTCCAGAAGCCCTCCCTGGCTCACGCTGCAGCTTACTCTTGAAGGGGGTCCACTCAGACCCCTCCCTCCTCTTCCCAGACTGCAGCAACCGCCCCCCGCCCTGCACTCCATGCAGCCAGAGGCTTCCAAAGGAAGTGGCTCTTCCCCACCTCGGGTGGGGGCGCTCTCCACCACCTGCGGACTTGAGGGGCTCCATTGCCCCGCACACATTAAGCTAAAATTAAGTTGGTTCTTCCGTCACTGTGGAGAGGACCCTTCAACATGTGGTGACAGGAGCTCAGGCATCTGTCAAAGTGCAAAGCTGAGCTCCTGCCTTTTGCCCCAAAATAACTCCAGAAGATGAGGGAGGAGGGAGGGGTCTGGCCCACAGGTGGGCACACTCACCAAGCCCCGGCAGCAGGCGGAGCAGCGCGTTCTTGTTCCTCTGCTTGGTGACATGCAGCACATAGTAGAGCCCCACCTCACAGGCCATGCGCTGCTCCTGCAGGAACCTGCAGGCCAGGCCATCAGCGGGGGCGCTGCCCGCACGCCCGGGGCAGCCAAGGCGCAGGTCCCACCCGCAGCCCCAAGACCTACTTGGTGAAGCTCTCTGGAAGGGTGTTCGGGTACGTGGCCGGGGCTTTCTCCTCTGCCGGGAGCTTCTGATCCA